TGGCTCCCACTTGACTTTGTTCCTCCCCACAGAGAACTCGGTCCACTGTGGCCAGTCCCGCCTGTGGTAGTGCGCCTTGGTGTCCCTGCTGTCCCAAAGGCAAAGATAGCAGGGAAACTTGGTAAAACCACCTTGGAGACCCATTTAGGAATGCCATCATTTAGAAGTCTCCGATGACCTCCCAGCTGTACTCATCATACTTCAAGGTGTCCAGCAAGGTCTTGATGCTGTTGTAATCCTCTTTGAGGTGCACCGAGTGAGGCAGGGGAAGAAACCGGTACTTGCTACGATTATGGAGCAGCACGGCTTTGAAGCTCCTGGATGACCTGTCAATGAAGAGGCACCACTCATTCTGGTTACAGGCGATTTCAATTGCCTCGAACAGACTGGTCACATTGTGGCAGAAGCAGAGCCCATCTTGACGGGTGAATAAGCTGTAAAAAGGTTGGTGACGCTTCCTCTGATCTGCGACGTGAGCACTTTCATCCAACAAGTTCCACTGCTTGAGCCTAGACGTCAAGCTCGGCATTGGACTTGGTGAGACCCAGATCTCTGATTAAGTCGTTGAGGTCTTTTTGGTTGGGGTAGTATGGGTTTCTCTCCTCAGCTCAACCTCTGAAATTGTCATCTGGATCTACAACGTCTTCCTCGCTCTCTGACTTGCTGCTCTCTTCTAAAGACGGCTGCTCTCTCAGGAGGAGTGGGTGCGGGGAGCTCATGGAAGTGTGGCACCGGGGTGATGAAGGGAGGTCCGGATACGTGATAGCAGGAGCATTCTTGCCAGTCCGACATTTGGAAGGGTCCACCATGCAGAAGTAGCAGTTGCTTGAGTGGTCAGTGGGTTCCCACCAAATTCTTGGGATAGCGAACTTCATGGCTCTCATCATTAGACCTCCTTTGCCAGTACCAAAATATATGAATAAGTTTTTCCCCTTTTTTCTCGCATCAAAACTGAAACCTTTTTAGAAGGAATCATGTCTGCATTAACCACAATACTTGTGGTCAGAATGCAAACAAAAACACACTCTGATAATATATGCATTGCCCTTGAAACTGATTGGCTCTCTTTTTCCCTCTGTACCATCCTACAATAATAAATTTATTTCACCCATGACTAATGTGGAAGAGATTCTCAACATGTTTCATATATGATATATTTTTTGAATGACATTGAAAATTGTAAAACATTTATAAATTAAAAACTTTTACAATTTTATAATATTAAATTCTGAGCAACAATTTTCAATCTTACCTTCCAGAGTTTTTTTGCATTGCTCGCAGGTGAAATGAGGTGCCCAGGGTTTGTCTTGATCCCCGACAGGCATGCCAAAATATGCCTTGTTGTAGGCCTCACCCATCTTAGCAGATGCTTCCACAGAGTACTTTTTCGCTCGTCTTGATAAATTGGCCGCAGACATCGCAAAATGCGTCTGCCGGATGCTTGCAGCCTCTTGATGCCATCTCAGAAAAATGCAGATATGTATCCACTTAGGCGGCTGGAACTAAACTTAACTGGTGGGCTTAAGGCCCCTGTATTTATACTATTTATATTACTGGAAAGTTCTAGAATGTTCTAGAAGTTACTCCAAGTTTATTTAGCATTGAAGCTATCTGGAATGTTCTGGAAAATAAGTAAAATCAAAATATCACTGTCCTGGTCACAAAAGCAAATTTTGGGGTGAATAATAGCCATTTTCTGTACTTTTTGAGGCATACGCAATTAGGAAATAACACTTACTACCCGGGAACAAAAAAAAACGTTACACAGTGTAATATATGTATTTTATTGTTTCCCTTCTACGTGACTTTACCGAAAGAACCAAGAATAAGATGTATGTACGTTGAACTTCTTTCACACAGTACATATCTAACTGCGCTAATCGAAGAGATGCGGGGGGAATAACAAGAAACTAAACACAAAATGTAGTTCTAAATAAATTCTTTTTTTTTCTATCCCATCCACCTTCAATAATCAGTGCATATTATCTGTAGTGACCTGTGGAGCAGACACATGGACATTGAAAACGGCAATGGGATACAAGTTGAAAGGTGCAAAGAAGCCTGCAGTGGAGTATGATCACATTTCTAGTTAATTTTGTTGAACCAGGTGGCGATAACTCAAGAGACTAGGATGAGTCTCGTTTGCAAGAGTGGCCGTGGCCACCAAAATTATAAAAAGCCAAGGACTTAAAGCAACAAGGCAAATCGAAATCAGATATAAAAAACACCACTGTCACGTGAGTCATCAGAAATACCGTGTAAACATGAAGTCATGTGAAACAATACATTTCCCATAGCCGCAAGTCAGCTGGTGGCAGATTCCTTCGAGACTGAAAATACTGCCAGAAACGTTACACAGATATAAAGTGACTATTGTACAAATATGTAAACAGACCAGGATATATGTCAAATTATTCGAGTATCTAAACATTTTTTTTTATTTTACCAGGTAAGGCTCACTGAGCTATATCACTCTTTTTCAGAAGCGACCTGGCCGCAAATGATAGCCTAATGAAGTGGCTTATCACATGGAAATGTACAGCAGCCAAATACTCTAAACGCACAATTCTAAACGTGGACTGAAAACCCGCGCGACCACGGGGAGAGAGACATGCAAACTCCAAATATACAGCAGGAGTCAGGGTCGGGATTGAAGCCACGACCTCATCCTGCACACCAGTCGGAGGAGATAACATCTCGCCATTCCGACGCTCATATACATGCTTGGAGACTCATGCCCGGGGTGGCAGTCAAAAGGACAGAACACGACCATGGGACCATCCACCATGGAGATGGAGTGGTAAAATCAGCTCAGAACCGCGAGGGATTGCAACAGCCTGGGGAGGCCTTCATCCAGCAGTGGATGTCAATGCTGATCCTGATCAAAGACGTCCTCCAATGCACTTTCTTTCGCTCCGTACAACTGGCGACGTGTTGGGAGGGTGTTTATGATCGACGTGCATTTTATTCGAGAATCCAAACGTAGTATCGACACGTCAGACCGGGAATAAAGTCCTCGTTTCAAAATGACAGATTGAGTATTGAGAGTGTGACATAAACTTGGAGAGCGGCCAAAAAAATATTTAATCATTTATATTTTTTTATTCCGCTTATTTCCTCAAGAAAGCCTCACGGAGTCTCAAGACTATTTTCAGGAGGGTCCCTGCCGAGTGTTTTTCGCAGGAGGGGAGCGATATTGCCGCTTCGTGAAATCCCAATTGCATAACTTGCGGGGAATTTTTTTTATTGCATTTGTTATGTTTGGCCAGTACCAGCTACTGCGTGTTTTAATTGCTTCATATAATTATGAGAGGGAAGCGGAGATCCCAGAGGAAAGCCCCTGCCTGACAGGGGAAGAGCGTACAAAAACGTGCTTGCTTTGAGTCACGAGCGTTAACCACTGCGGGCGCCACTCAGCGATTGATCACTGGAGACGCCTATTGACGAATGGCTGAATTGCAACACGTATCAGAATCATTACACGATGTAACACGATTTCTGTCCCTGGGTAGGAAGTGGATTTTATTGCTTATGCCTCAAAAGTACAGAAAATGGATATTATTCCACACAAACTTTGCTTTTGTGACCAAGACTTTATGTGAAGGAATGACACAAATGCACACTTTTTCTCATTGAAAATAGGTAAATTTGAAAATATCAATGTCCTGGTCACAAAAACAAAGTTTGTCGGTAATAATAGCCATTTTCTGTACTTTTGAGGCATACGCAATTAGGAAATAACACTTACTACCCAGGAACAAAAAAAGTGTTTCGTTAGTGTTACCAGCAGCACGGTTGACATTTTCGATTTTGGTGGGTTTTTAAAACAAAAATCTGACCTGCATAGGTCGTACGGTGCGTGGTTATCACCACGAGTCACTGGCGTGTTCCACTCAGCAATGATTCCAGGGCAACGAAAAATCACTAAATGTACCGTAGTCGTTCGAACTTGGGCAAAATGTGACCCTTGACACCGGCACACAGCGGCCTCCTCTCACGAATGACATCGTAGAGATCTAAACGTCCCACGTTTGAACGAGGACGCAAGTGTATTACTGTTTTGATTTAAAGCTTTCGTGACTGCAGTAATTCATATTCTTAGCTCTTTCGGTAAAGTCACGTTGAAGGGAAACAATAAAATAATAAAAATATATATAAAACAATAAAACGTAGTGAGAATTTTTATTGTTTTATATATATTTTATTATTTTATTGTTTCCTTTCAACGTGACTTTACCGAAAGAGCTAAGAATATGTATTACTGTTGTTTTACACCTGCAGTGTGTGGACTTTACGGAGAGGCGAGGAGCATAGGACGAGGGAGCAATAGAAGTAATGTAGAGCACAATGGATGTCGTAACACTCTTTAATCAACATTTAGTGTCACGTCAGTAGGCAGGCTTGCTTGAACCAACACTACAACGGGTCAATGGAATGCATTTAGAATTGGGGCTTTTTTTTTCCTCCGCCGATTTGAGACCAAAATATAATTGACGAACGTCCAAAGATTACTTACGCCTGTAAATGTTTTCAAATAATAATTTACGCACGCACCAATGCTAATGTGTTATATATTATACTGCATTCCAGAAACGTGAAGAGGTCGTGATAGCTACGGGAGGCCTTCATCCAGCAGTGGATTGACCACGGCTGACCATGACACCGATGCGGTGGATGGCGCATGCCGATCGGCTCCATCCAGCGGTGGATCGAGCACGGCCGAGCATGACGCCGATCGCCTCCATCCAGCGGTGGATCGAGCACGGCCGAGCATGAAGCCGATCGGCTCCATCCAGCGGTGGATCGAGCACGGCCGAGCATGACGCCGATCGCCTCCATCCAGCGGTGGATCGAGCACGGCCGAGCATGAAGCCGATCGGCTCCATCCAGCGGTGGATCGAGCACGGCCGAGCATGACGCCGATCGCCTCCATCCAGCGGTGGATCGAGCACGACGGCGGCGGCGATGACGCAGCTCGCCGTGGCGGATGTTGGTCGGTGACGTCACATCCGCTTGCACCATTTTTTCCTCCCCTCTCGAGGCGATTTCATTTCCTGCGGGGCGCGGCACTGCCCCCACTCCTCTCACTCTCACTCGCCAGCACGCGCCTTTGTATCTCCCTCGTGAACCACCATCACCACCACGGCTCCTTAAACAGCAGCGCTCGCCACCATCAACGTCGATTCCGCCTTTGTCGTCGTCCGGACAATCCCTTTCGGCGCCCTTCCGACCATTAACATCGACAACAACAAAAAAATAATCACATCGTTCCTTTCCATTTTCTTCGCTGCTGCTGCTACTGCTGCAGGGGAGTCTCATTTCCGTTTTGTTCCAACCTACCTCGACTAACTTTCACTCACGGCACCGACGGCGGCCGGCTCACCATGAGCGACGAGTCGAGGTCTCTGCCCGAACACGACGACGTTTCGCCCTCTCGTCCCGGTGCAATGGCAGACGGAGCAGCAGCGGCGGCGGGGGCGACGACGCCGCCAGCCAAGCATGGCGGACACGGAGCGCCGCTCCCCGACTCCACCCGAATCATCCCCGCGCCCCTCTCCTCCTCCTCTTCTTCCTGCTCCGCTGCTCACGCCGGTACGGGGAGCCTCGAGAGAGAGAGAGGGGGGCGACCCCCCTTTTTCCGTCACCCATTCCGCCTATCCCCCCCCCCCCTCTTGCTGCACCGCTCCCTGTTTCATCGCGGTCACGGTGCGATCCCAACCGGGCCCACCAACCCCGCTGAAACCCCCCCCTCCTCGCTCGTTGCTGTGCGCGTTAGGCCGCAGCCGATCCCTATGTCATTCCCGCTCGGAATCTCTTAAAGCCAAGATTCATTATCCCTAACCCATTGCCAACCCCTAAAGACCCCCCCCCCCTTTGGAATCCACAATCCCAACGAAACCCCCACTTTATGTTTCTTGGCCGACCTCCCGACGCCTCTTTTAAAATTCCATCGGGGGGGCCAATGGAACCATTTAAATGTGTCCTTATCCCCTTAATTCCTCGTAAGCCACGATCCGTCTGCTGCTGGCTGCCCAACCACGTAGTCATCACTTTGGGATCCATTGCAGCAGTAGAACCATGTGCGATCCCCCACGCGCTCCGCTTTATCCTACCGCGCACGGAGCCCACCGATCTATCCTCTTAGGACCTCGTATCCCCAAATGAGATTCCTTATTTTACGCGTCTATCCCCTTAAGTCGCCCAGCCTCCCCCCCCCTTATGTATCCCCTATGTATCCCCTTTCCACCCTGGCCTCCATGATGGGTGCGGGCCACGTGTGGTTGGACCCAGAGCTGCTATTGTAGTGTCTATTTAAGTTCTAATTTTAGTTATTAATTATCAGTATTAAGCTCCCTCTTTCTTCCCCGCGGGGATCCAGTGAAATCTGTATTTTACGAACGCGACCAAAAACCCATGAAATAATTTACGCAAATTCATGAATGTTCAAATATTACACTGTAATCTTAAAAAATCAGTCCTTCATTTCAAAAGGGGAGATTCGTGCGTGCATTCATGTTAATGGAAGGCAGTTTAAATATTTCGTATAATAAATTCAATAACCCTATGCTTAGTTAATATAATTACCATGTGTCCTGACTGTATGGGCCCACCCTGTATTTCCCCAAGGTCTTCATTTGATAAAATATTATTTTGGTTTGAATGCATTTAACTTATCGTACATGAAGCGCATCAATGTGTAAATTTTCTTTGTGTTAGTGTGTAGTAGTAGGCCTACATTTCTCCACGTAAGGTTATGGATCACATCGTTTGCTTCTCAGTCCAGGCCTATAGGTCTCTAAGTCTGGGGGTGTGGGTCTGTGTATGTGTTGTGTCATTCTATGGCAGTGGTTATTTTTCACCTGGGGGTGCACGCATCCCCTATGGGTGCGAGACATGGCCAGCTTTTATTTAGAAGGTAAATCTTTGAACACAAATTAAGCACGTGCACGGAAGTACAACTAGTTTCATCAAACCATTGGCATTTAGTAACATATTTTTTTACAATAGAGAACCAAAGTGGGTGCAAGGCTGCATTAAAGGTTAAGAACCACTGTTCTATACGCTGCAGCGTATACAACTGTGTTAAGGTCTGTGCGTGTCTGGGCTTATGGGTCTCCGTGTAAGTCTATGGGTTCTTTATGCAAGTATATATGGGTCACATTGTAAGTCTGCGCGTCTAAGCAGTTGTGTGTTACAGTAAGTCTGGATCTCTCTGCGAGGTGAGGATTTAAGCACGTGTAAGCTGGTTTGCTGTACCTCTTTAATACCAGATGTCGCTTGCAAAAGAGACCACTGTGCACAAACAGGTTGTAGATCGTGCTTGCAGGGGTTCACGTCACAGGCAGTGCGGTGAACTTCATTGTTGTACTCTACTTTTATGCTCCCGGCCACTCCGCACCTTTGGCCTTCGCCCCAAACCACACGGACCAGCGTGAGGAAGTATGCTCCAGCATTCCCTCTCACCCTCATCACAATGCCGGCACGCCAACATCTGGCAGTGGAATTTGGTGTATTGCACAACGTATAATAATGTAATTATTATACATAATTACTATATATTATACGTTGTATTGCCATGCGTTCGTTTGAACCCTGCAGTCGCAAGAATTCTCTAGATTCCCCACGTTAAAAAAAGGTAATTGCGATAATTCGGTGAATCACCAGTGGAGTGAATCATTACCCCTCTACCACGCTTGAGCGAGTACATTCTTCCAGACTTTGTACAACGAGTGAACAGTTGCGCCATAATTCCGCAGCCAGGCGTATCACCCGACACCCGTAGACAAGACCACGCCGCCCCAGCACTCTAGTCCTTCCACGTGTCCAACTCCTATCCCGGATACATCTTCAGGTTGTACCCGCCGTCTTCGAAGAGCCTTACTGGACTCGCTTCTGCCTACATCTCCACTCTAATCTCACTGTACTCGCCTCCACGCACTCTCCTATCTCTCCCCTTACATCTCACTCTACTGTTCTCCACACCCTTGCCCAACCAACCCAACAAGGCTTTCTGTCAAAGCCCCTCCACCCCCGAGTCAACTTTCGCTCATTGATAGGCCGCTCTGTCGCCTCTGCTTCCCCCATGATCTAAAACACCCCGATCCACCCCCCCCCCCCCCCCCAGCAGTTGGTGCTGGTGAGTTCTTGTCCCCTTGTGCCTCTATTTAAGTCTAGTTTTCCCTCTTTTTCTTTCTTTCCTCTGCCCATTCATTCTGGCTGTCCCCTATTTGCTCTTAAAATAAAAATTCCACTTTCTGTCCAGCATCTTGAGACTCGGTTGCGTTTAGACGTGCGTTTCGCTATTCGTCTGCCCCAACGCCATCACCTTGTGTCCAACCACCCCCTCCATCCTGTCCGATCTTGAGCTTTCTTCTTCCCGTCACTGCACCCGCCACCGCCAACCACGCCCTTCCTTCAAGTCGTCAAGTAGCACCATTCATCCGCCTTTTTGTTCTCTTTCCCAGCAACCTTCTTCCAGAACTTCCTTCGCCAAGCTTTCACCTCTGAGAAATATCCCCCAAACCCTTCCCCACCAATCCACATTTGTCCCCTTTTCTGGATGATTATAATGCGACTTGGCCTCCTTAACCTGCACCACAGCCGCCTAATTTGTCTAGTTTCCTCTATTCCATGCTTAAACTCGCATCTCAAAACCCGCCAATCGTCTTCGCGTATTTTTCCCCTGTCCGAGTCGCAACGTTTTTTTTGGGCAGCGCGTGCAGGACACGACACCGCGTACCCAGAATTCATAATTCTGCATTGGCAGGAACAGTGGGGTGCGCAAAGCACAAACAACCGAGAACTGAACGCATTCTTCACTAACAGCGCCCTGAAGAGGAAATGAATAAATAGACGCGGGTTCTGGCAACAGGCCCTATTTACAGCAGGGAGCTACTAAGGGGTTATTTTGACGTCACGTGAACGCAAATCGCATTGCCCTTTCAATTTGACCGATTTGAGTGGGATGAGTTTGCGTTTTATCCGTACGGATTGGATGGCACTTCCTTGAGCCTGTTAAACAAACGATGTTCCCCTTCCTGCCCCCCCCCCCCGTGCCGCATGGTGCAGTATCGTGGCCTTGCCAACATTGCAGGCTCTCGCGCGAAAGTGCGGAGTCGGCATTTAAACGCCATACCGTCGGCCGCAGCGGCTGGCAGCTCTCCACATCGCGGTGGGAATTAACTCGGTACGCAAGTGCGTTTGAGCATAGGTGCATAGTGCAATGTCTGTAACGTTATGCGTGTGGTCCTGGGCCTCCAGGACTGCACTGTGGAGGAAAGCTTAGCAAGTCACAGATTTATTTTTAAACATAAGTAAAAAAATGAACATGTTGCATAAGTAAACTGGCACTGGGATGAGAATGGTGGCTGGGTTGGGGTCCTGGCCACGCCAAGGGTTAACGTTCACTTTGCCAGCCTTCAAAGGCTGCCTCAAAAGTCTTGTGTCTACACAATCCGTGTAGATAGATTGCACGGCCGGGAGAGGAGAGGGTCTTTTAAGCATTGTACACCGACTTGGGGCAAATGCCGTTAGTGAGCAGCTATCAAGGGCCCCCGGCACGGCGATCTTCCGAGAGGCTCTTTTTGGGTTGTCTTTGCGAGGTGCAGTGGTTCTCGCTCTACACTGCGAAAGCGACGATCCCAAGTTCCGTTCCGGACCACGCCCAATGGCAGTGGAGAGCGATCGCCCACAGAAGTGTTTTGGGCCCTCCTCCTCGAAGACTGACGCAGCCTGGTGGGCGAGTAAAATATCGGCGCTTGGGAGGCGATGGCGGCCGGGCGTGGTGCTGGCTTCACGGCCCTCTTCGTGCACTGCGCCAGCCTTAACAGGCGCTCGCTTAACAGCATTTGCCCTCAACGGTCCATGAATAGTCCTCTGGGGAATTTGTATCTTTGTTATTTCATGTTTGTGTTATGTTTCATGAACGAGTCCAGGCAGCCAAAACATCAACGCTATTACCGTTAAGTGTCTAATTATGTTTTCTGTCTCCTGTACTTATGCAACACTCACACACTTACACACGTATAATTATGCATTTAATTACATTTTTGTCCCTCAACTATATTGCGATCGTACTATCCTTGTCGCACGTCACGTGATGATGGAATTTCCTTTTCGGAATCTCTTCCAGCTATGGGTTTGCCACCTCGTGGTCTGCGTCAGGCTGAAGTGCACCGATTGTTCGGCTGGCGCTCGTGTCCACGCTGCGACACAAAGCGCTGCTTTTAACGGCCGTCGGCGACGAGACGGCTCGCACCGTACAGGGCGATTCATTTATAGAGAGACCCCTTACAAATAATACAGAGAAATTCCGATAGAAAAATCGACCTTTTATTTTTACTGCCCTCTACAAACCCCCCCCCCTCCCCACAAATCTCAATTCACTTATTAAATGCGTTTCCTCTCTGTGAGATACAGATCCATAGCTTGACCAGAATTTCCATCGGCATTTGAGAAGACGGCAAGTAAGTGGCCCGGGTCTTTTAAGAAACCCAGTGGGCTATCTATAAATGGATCACCCTGTGTATTGCCCTCCCCCACCCACTCCCCTCCCATGTCTGAAACGGTGTCAACGGCACCGCGCCGCGCAGAGCGACGCTTGGTGTAGCCTTGCGACGCAAGCGTCGTCGTCGGAAACATGCCAGTGGGTAGCACGACCTTTGCCCGATGATTCTATGCGTGTGCAAGTGCTTGCGACAACTGAACCTAACTGGCAGCCGTTGTGCAGCAGTGGCCCGAAGGACTTCTGCCTCCATCCTGTAAAGCCTTGATTTTTTTTCCCTTCGTAAAATGTGTTTTTTTTAATCTTTGCCCAAGTTTTATTCTCGCTGTGCTATTGCCGTCACATCGCGTGACAAACCAAATGTGCGTTCCGAACTCCCGAACGGTTTTGCCCCACCGTGTTTGAGAAGGACCGCAGAGGGAGCCCTCGTGGAATTACTTCCAAGAGCCTTCAAAAGTAATGTTTTTTTTTAATCCACTTTAGCGGGGTGCTGCTGCTGCTGCTGCTGCAACGTTCCCACGCACCCTGGCCCAGACGTGGCTGTTGGTTGCGCGGCGGTCAAATCAATAATTCGTTATTGGCAGCGCTGGGATTTAGCCAAGTTAAGCTCTCAAACAAATTTAACGACAATGTGTGCTTGTTTTGTGCAGTTGGTCCGCTGGGCTGAGGCACCACCGACTACGCTTCAGAGTCCGATTTAATCGACGGCGGCCGAAACCCAGCTGCTAACCCACAGAGACCGCTGGCAGTGCTGACTTGGCGTCAATGACCCCTGAACCCCCACACACGTGGCCACTTCTCTCCAGTCGCCACATTCGTTTGTTTTTTTTCTCACAGGGGGACGATCAGATTGTGGAGGAGACCTCTGCAGCGTGTGCACACTTGTTCAAGAGGAACTTTGCTCCCACGCCGGCTAGGCTAAGCACATTTAACGCTCCCTCGGCTTCGGTTTGTTCAGCAATGAATGCCGCTGGGCGTTTCCTCTTTTTTTTGTTTGTTTCTCCACGATCTGCATTTCGGGCACTCAAAGATCCCCTGGGCAACGACCTCGTAGGAGATAGAGCGATGATATCGACTCGCGTCCATGCCCTTGGTGGATAATCGCATCGCCGCACTGTGGGATGTGGTAGAGAGGCTTGGGAAAGCCTTCATCTCGGAGTGGATTGACCAAGGCTGGTGACGATTATGATGATGAAAGATGCGATGGCATTATGGGTATAAATCATAAACTGGTATATCTCACTTTGGCATGGAATGTTGGCAAAATTGTAAAGTGTGATTCAGATATAATTGAGTTGTCCACCTGCTGGACGAGTGAGAATTTTAAGACCTTGTCAATGCGCTGCTGGAGGAAGGCCTCCCCCACGCCGTTTTGCCCATGGGGGCTGGTTGACCCATACCCTTCACTATGCTGGTCACCACGGGTGGCCATAACGGGGGCGGGCGTCAGAATGTTTATTGTGTTTATGTCCGTAGTATATTGTGCCAGTACCTGTACCATCACTGGCACTGATAAAGGAGGAATGCTCGTAATCTACCACGGGGTCTGAAGTACTCGGACAAACTGACTTTCCGTCCACGCTAGTGGGGTGATGGTGCATACACTTTGATGTATGCACTCGAACCATCCCGACTCGTTCCATAATTGAGCCTTCTTTTCAAAATGACACTGCACGTTTATTATTATTTGAATGATCTTGTCGTTCTTGCCTGTGACGTTGCCGATCTTGTGACGCTGTGCCACTCGTCGTCACAGGACTGTCCTGATTATTTTTGTTTTACCTCCTTAGAGCGTCGTTTGGATGAGATGGGAGCTCTCGTGCTCGCGCCAAGCCACCGTGATTTTATAACGCGGTATAAAAATGACGCAAGATTTGTATCTCGCGTGGCTGCTTGCTTCCACCACCTCCCGGCAGCCAGCATGCACGTGGCAATGTGGGAAGAGAGCTTTGTACAGTGCACTGTAATCACCCGACCGCACCCCGCGCCCAACCACCTGAGGTGCCGTTCGTTGTGTGACGATCGATGTGACGTTTTTGGCAAAGCCGGCCGGCCAGCTGGCTGGCTGGCAAGCGCCGATACCTGGAGGCAAATTTGTTGAGACGCAAACGCGACGACTATTTTGGTCTGCTGACGAGGTTCGTTTCCCCATTGATTGGCGGCCTAATTGTCCTTGCATGGGTGCAAGGTTAGAATAATAGTTGACACGCTTCGCTGAGTTTTATAGTTTTTGCTTTTTTAAACATGGAAGCCTGTGTACGTGCATGCGTGCATACGGCCTTCTTAGGTGCCCGCGCTAACAGCACTTGCCCCAACAATCTGTTAAAGGCTACACGGGGGATCTTTTTGTCTCGTCTTTGTATGATGTTGCTGCAATATGTTGTGTACAGCACATTCTCGTGGCTCTCACTCGCCGATGCCATTACAATTGCAGTGCAGTTTTGATTCGCGCGGCGTCCAAAGGCAACCGCACCTCGCCATGCTGCGCAAAAAAACATTCGGGATGCACATCGCAGGAAAAAATGAGATGTGTGTGTGTGTGCATTTGTGCAATATGTACATATTGTTTTCGAGAAGAGACAGGCATAGGTAGAGCTGAAGAAGTTTTTGGACCTAGGCTTGGAGAGGACGGGGGGGGTCAAAAGCACAGGTGGGTTGGTGGGAGGGAGCTCCAAACTTGTGGAGCAGCAGAGGAGAAGGAGTGACCTCTCGCCGAGCAAAGATTGACCGGTGCCTTCGACACCAGTCAATCTTGTTGGATGATGGAGTGCGCGGAGAGGGGAGCGGAGTGCGATGAGAGAGGTAGGCAGGGGACGAGTCTATTGAAGACCTTGAAAGCCAGTGGTGAGTGCCAACATCGACATTTGTCTGGCGTTCTAATTGGGAGCCAACGACGGGATGGTAGTCTCGGCCGTGATGTGGTCTCGTTTCCGCCGGGTCGGGGCGGAGGGGGTGGGAGTGAAGAGTCTGATTGACAGCGCGCGTTTTTGGATGGTCCGCTGAACGTTCCGGCTTTGACGTCGCCGCTCAAAAGCCCGTCCGTGTGTGTCCGAGCGAGCAGCAGGCCTTTCCCCGCCGTTTCGATCTGCGACGCCCCACTCTGTGATCGATGGATCATTCGATCGTCTGTCGTCGTTGCTGTGGGCGCAGTGCGATGTTTGTTTTTTTACGGCGTTGTGTTTGTGTGTTTTCTCCAATCTGCAGGTTATGCCTGCCTAGCGCAGTGGCTCAAACCGCAAGGTAACGTCGTCGACGATCTTTAGGAAAAAAAAAAACACCCCCAAGAGATCTGAGCACGGGTTAATCCCCCCCCTTCCCACGTTGAATCTGTTCACTGTCGGTGGGAGGGGTGGCTCGGTGATGATCACACTAATCCAATCCACACCTCATCCTTAATATTAACGACGCACTGTAATCCTGATTAGCTCGCGTCTCTCACCAATGTGCACTCCGGTCGAGCACAATCTCCGCTCCTCCCGCGGTTTCTTTCTGTCGAACGTATTCGTCAATCCCTGACTGCGCTCTCTTTGTCGCCTTGCCAATTCAAATGGTTTCTGATGCTTTGCTTGCCCAATTGTTGTTTCGTGTACTCATGCTTATAATCGAACCGCAAAGCGTCGTGTAGATAATCGTAATAATCTATGTACGTTGAGCTTCTTTCGCACCGCACGTAGCCAACCGTGCTAATCGGAGGTGCGGGGGAAGGACAACAAACTAAACACAAATAATTATAATCACAACCATGCCCAGTGCACATTTGTGTTCGCTTTGATTAGTCCATTCCACCGTCGTAGCGTATTAGGCCCTAACGGTCAAGGCTTGTAGATGTCATGATTGTTAGCATGTTCAAGTGATCGAACGTGATTTTGGAATCCCCAAAATCGATTCCCAGAGAGACTCAAAAATTCTACGTGAATTTATTGGGAGTAACAGCTGACGTGCAATCACTTTTGTGACTTGGGGATGATGACATTGATGACGATCGTGATGACGCTGATTTTTTTATGCGACGATTCAAAGTGATCTGCTGCTCAATTGAGCGTTGAGGCGCTTGCTCGTATCCTATGTACAGCCTGGAGCGGAAATTTGACTTATATGGGAGGGGAGGTGGGCGGCGGTGGCAAGTCTCTCCAAAGAACAACCACCGCCCTTGACTTCCCCACAAAGTGGTACTCATTTTATGAACCCTCGGAGGGATGATGGGCTGAGTCGCTGAAAGCAAGCCCTGCCGCTGAGCCACTTTTTAGCGGCTGAAATTTTGACCCCGACCGAGAGAGAGAAAAAAAACTTTAAAAAAATACGTGGTGTTCGCACAAGGAGAGAGGCTCGTGTAGAAAACTCCGAGCTTTAGTGGCCTTAAGTGGTGACTCGGCTGTGCGGGAACGCCTCGAGCGCATGACCGATTTATGACTCGGGAGGAATGCGATCAGACCTCCCAACACCGAAATACCGCTCGTCCGAATCGCGGTGGGTGGAATTTTTTTTCTTTCTCTAAGCCGCCCATTTGCTGTTCGGGCCACTTCACCGTCGGTAACCACACCCGCACGCAGTAGCCGTTTGGAAAGACCTTCACTGGATCTCTGGAGTTCACTCGCACGGCGTCTTTTCCATCGGCGGTCAAATTGGCATTTCGAAGTTTAAAGTTGCGCCGAGCGTGAACCCGCTCGCGCTTGGAAGTCGGCAGCGGCGGTTGCGTGCGGCACGCACGCACTGATTCGTCTCCAGCGCACGTCAAGTGGGCTTTCTCACCTCGCTGGCTCGCGGCCACGGAACGATATCCCGGTGAACGAAACGATATCCCGGTGAACGAAACGGCATCTTCGTTTCGCCGCGCCCGCCGCTGCCCGCAACGATGGAATGCGGCTTGCCCGTTGGGACCATTCATGCTTTCATGACACACTCCAGATGCACGGGTTCTCGCGGGAAGGGTTACGTCAGCTATTTATTCAGTGTGGCGAGATGTTATTTCCGTCGCCTGGTACGCAGGAGGGGTCTTGGGTTTGATCCCGACCCTGACGCACGCCTGTAGAGTTTGCGTGTTCTCCCTGTGGTCATGTGGATTTTTCTCCGGGTCCTCCGGTGTTTCCACTCCACATTTAGAATCGAGTATTTGGCTGCTAAACATTTCCACGCGATAATCCAACTTTGTGGAGCTATCCTTTGTGGCGTGGACGCTTCTGGTAAGGAGCTACATAGTTTAATTTGAAACTTCCTCTGACTTAGAGTTTCTCCCCTCCACGTTTAGAATCGACATGCGTTTAGATTATTTGGCCGCTATAAATTTCCGCATGATAAGCCAATTCGTTGAGCTTCGCTACGAAGCTCAGTGGGCCTGAGCTGGTTAAATAGTTACTCTTAAAAAAATTCACGGATCGGCCGAGTGGAGACGCAGACGCCCTTTAAGTCGCCGTGCCACCTCGCCCAACGGCCAAGCGTGGTACCTTTCAGAATAACATTGCCATGGACGCTGTCGTGCGTGCTGCCAATCCGTTCAGCTTTCGCTTCTTGTCTTTAGTTGTGTTGCCCCTCCCCTCCCCGCACCCACCTCCGATGAGCACGGTTGGCTACGTACGGTGCGAAAGAAGTTCAACACGCTACATAGAAACAGCTTCCCCCCCTGAGGCTGGCTTTCGGCCATCGGACTTGGACGTGGACATAAGAGCCGTAGTGTAATGCCTTACGCGATAAAAAATGTGTTCCTAATGAGTTGCACTGGCTTGACAACAAGGTTTTCTTAGAGCCACGCTGTTGGCAAGCGCCCTCCTATCCACAGCCCATTTATCCGCTACACCTTTTGGCTGCCCCTTGGTCGATGGCTGGGAATGACTATTAACCGCAGATGCATTCCGCCATTTGACAGCTTTCTATGGATAGGAGGAGTCGCCCGAATAGTGGCGGGAATATTCAGCCTGTGAGCCCACGCTCGTTCACCGAGATCGAGTCGTCCGGAAGTGGTCTCGTCGAAGTCCAAAACATCCGTCCTGGTACGAAGGGTCACGCAGATGTGGCGACCAAAATCCTATCGTGAGCGTTGACGCGCGTGCAACTGAGAAGCAAGTGTCTGTTTTGCAGATGGTAGGATCTGCCAACAGCAACCCCTTCATGTGTCAATGCAGATATGGGGGTGTCGCTTAAATGTTCACGAGATGGCCACAGCGCCCACTCCACAACCCCCCACCCCCGGGCCGTGTGGTAGCTTCGTCCGGCTTGGCATCCAGATCCCCCGTGGGGTGTGGCGACATCCCCCCCCCCCCCCCCACTGGCAAATTGGAACAATTAAAGCGAATGTGGCGGCGTTGGTGGCGCGGTGAGAGAGTAAACAAACACGTTTATATCTTATTGTTATTTGCAAGCCAACGACCGCACCCTTCGGGCTAATTTGCGGCGGTGACGCCATCCGTGGCCTGCGTCATGCCGTCGCCCAGAGAAGAGAGGCCCGTGCGATCGTTTGCGACCTGCGTCGGGTGCACGTGGGCGCACGTGGGCACATCGATGAGCTGTGGGCGGACGTGCCGAGTGCTGTAGCCGGCCGTTGTCGCACCGCCTCCCGGCTGATATACGTTCCGGACGTGTCGTCGTCGGCGACGTCCCAGCCCGAATGGATGGCAACGATTGCCAGGAAGAGTGAAGAGTCGTTCTCTCGAAGAGCCGAGGATTCGTTGGCGCTGCGGAGGAGGGATGTTAGCTTTTAGCCTGGTATACGGGAGGTCGTGGGTTCGATCCTGACAACAGTATATTTGGAGTTTGCATGCCTCTCTCCCCGTGGTCGCGTGGATCTTTCTCTGGATCCTCCAGTCTTTATAAATATGCGATTAGAGTATTTGGCTGTCGTAAATTTCCACGTGATATTCCACTTCGTTGAGCTATCATTTGTGGCCAGGTTGCTTCTGAAAAATAAGCTTCAAATTTCAGTGGGCCCTCAACCTAATAAAATAGAAATAGATTTTAGTTTATACTTTTAGCTGTCACGAGGGCAGGACTGCCCAGAATTTCCCAGAGGGGCCCAGAGCTGAAGGCCTGCGGCATAATGCCACCACCTGTTGTACGTGGCCCAGGGTAATTTCTTCCCCCCCCCCCTCCCCCACACCTCTGGACGTCTCGGCTCGAGGGCAACGTCGGCGACAAGGTGCGGGGACGGCGCCTCCCAATTAAGCGCGGTTGGCTGCGCGCGGTGCGAAAAGTTAAACGTGCATCCACGCACGCAGCGCCCGCGGCGTGCGTGGGATGCAGCTCGAGCGGCGTCTGAAAGCCCGCCGGCGTGTCTGGGGAAGGAGGGACGCGCGGCTCGCGACCGTCGCTCGCTCGCACCGGAGGAGCGCGGGGGTGTCCGCCAAACGGACGAAGCCAGTCGAGGGAGAACGAGGGCGGGGAGAGATGACGGAGTCGCGGAGAGAGCGGCGGCGGTGGCCACGGCCACGCGAGAAAACCTCGTCAAGCAAAAACCCTTCCCGCCCGGGGGTCTCCGTGCCGGCGCGCGTCTCTCGGGCGCGAGGCTGCGCCATCTCGGCACGAATCTTCAACGAGATTGGGCCCGCGCGTGGTGACGGATCTTTGCAGCGAGCGAGCCTGTCGATGGGACGGTGGCGATTTGCGAGCTGGGGCCCATTTAGTCGTTGCGGCTTCGGATTTTTTTTTCTTTTTCCCTTCCGCTGCATCGAGAAAGCCGAGCCATTAATAATGCACGCTGAACAAGTTGTAGGGCGCACTGTCGCCGGCGATCGTTCGGCCGCCCGCCAGCTCGCCCGGCCGGCTCGCGCCGGAAGTCAACGCGTTATTGACGGCCGCACTTTCACGTCGCCGGTGCGTTGGAGGTTCCATGTGGCGACGTCACGATCCCCCGGAACGCGACGCAGCCCCACGTTGCGTGCGACCCCCCCCCCCCTCCCCCCTAGTGTGGGATTAGCGCAACAGTTTCCCAACGTTAGCGACGTGTAAACTGTGCGCTGCGTGCATTTGAATAGTGTCCCTTGGCCCGTCGCGTAACCGCCAAGTCATAACAACCGCGGTGGCACCGGCAGCGGTGGGAGCGGCCGTCATCTCGGGTCGTTCAACCCGTGGCACCTTGGTAAAATTAAAATAAACTCGTTTAAAAAAGTTTTTTAAAAACAACGGTTTTATTAACAGCTTCGTTTAACTCGCAGTCGAGAAGTGCGTCAATGGCGCCTGAGACACGCGGCGCCTGCTTTTTGTGCGAGCCGATTCCACAGTTGAGGGGCCCCGGCGTTTTTGACCTACACAAAAATATACATAATAAAGCGTCCATACAAAATGTTAATTGCTTTAAAGTAGCGAATTAATTGATGCCGATTTTTGATACAGGCATGCATTGTCACCGGATCCTGAGTACGTGTGCAAAATGTTGAATTAATTGGACAACGGGAAGTGGACGAAATTTTGATTACAAGATTTGACCCAGACAAACAGAGGAATCGAGTTAAGTAAAACCGTTGAAAAAAATTGCTTGTAGTTTAGTTTAACAACTTTCTCTGATTCCAGTTTCTCTTGACCCCCTCCCCCTAACCTCCCTCCTCCACCACGCCGCCCGCAGTCCTGGACCTGCTGTACTGGCGCGACATCAAGACGTCGGCAGCCGTGTTCGGCGGGAGCCTCCTGCTGCTGCTGTCACTCACGCAGTTCAGCGTGGTGAGCGTGCTCGCGTACCTCACCCTCGCCGTGCTCTCCGTCACCATCAGCTACCGCGTCTACAAGTCCGTGCTGCAGGCCGTGCAGAAGACCGAGGATGGCCATCCCTTCCGGTGAGATTGGGAGGGCGGTGGGGAAGTTGGGAAGGGTGGGGGGGGTGGTGGCCTTCGTCCGGTTACTCCGACAACGTTGGCGGCTACCGTGCGCCAATGTATGCGTGCATGTTGAACTTCTTTCGCGCCGTACGTTGCAAACCGTGCTAAAATCTGGAGGTGTCAATAACTGACGGTGATGTCCCGATGGTGCCGGGCTTGGGCGCATTTTGAGGCCGCGGGAAGCGTCGGGAAGGCTGGCTGGACCCCCAGGTGTTGCGGGTTAACTGACCGAGACGACTGGCCCGCACGCACCTTCGCAAAGACAAAGATCCCCCCTCCCCCCCCGCGAGTTCTGTTAGCAAGCGCCTATTTAGGTCCAGTATGGTGCACCTATGAGGTGGTTTGGCCATCGCCACACCCGGCTGCTTTGTGTCCCCCAGTGGTGGAATTTGCATACCTTATCAGGTGCGCTTTCGCGATTAATAAACGCACCATGCAGGGAGCGGCGATTCGTATTGAGCTCGTGATTTTGGGTGGTGCCTCTGTGTTCCACGTTACGAAGAGTGCCGAGTCGCGCTACGGTAGGAATCTCGCACGCGCGAGTGTGTCTGCGCGCGTGCGCGTTGAATGCCACGCACCGTTACAGTTGGCATCGCCGCTCGGGAGACAAAGGCGGGCCGGGCGTGGTGCTGGCCGACCACGCCCCCGTGTGCCGTGTCGGCCTTCGTAGGCGCTGCTCGCTTGACAGCACTTGCCCCCAACAGTCTCTTGAAGGCTATAATGGGGGAACATTGTCTTTGTTCCACGTCATCACAGTACGCCGATTGCACGTCCACGGTAAGATTCCACGACCCTTTTTTCAATCCGCTGCTTGATGAGGGCCTCCCCCACGCTGTGCAGGTTTGTGGGGGTTATTCAGCCATACTTGCCACCCCACCAACCGCGACCGGTCCGTCGATTCCCTCTTGTGATTCTGCGCGCATCGCCGCATCGCGTCGCCTTGGCGGGGGGGGCGCAGACGCTGACCGCAATTGCTGCGCCTTGCCGCCTACAGGGAGTACCTGGACGCGGACCTGGCCATGTCCCCCGAGACGGCCCAGAAGTACGTGGACACGGCGCTGGCGCACGTCAACTGCCAGCTCCGCCACCTGCGCCGCCTCTTCCTGGTGCACGACCTCGTCGACTCCATCAAGGTGCCCGGCGCGAGCGCCACATCGAGCCGTCCGGGGGCCACCCGGCACCACCCGGCGCCACCCAGCGCCACACCGGATTCCGGCAATCGCGTGGAAGCATGAGAGCGCACCGCTAAACCGCCGCTGTGGTTCACCCGTTCGTCGTCGGTTCTGCCTTTCGTCATAATCGTTAGTCGTACCAAATCGCTATACTCAAGCTATCTGTATCATCGTTGTTAGCGGTCATATGGAACCGTGAACAATGTCAACGTTCATAGTAACCATCGTCGAGGTAGCCAGGTCGCTGTGGTACCAACCACGATCCTGGGTTCAGAGCGCGTTGTCAAGCCCTACCATCAGTGGCTGTTACCAAAAGACCATCAAGTTCCACTTGGTTCTATGTACGAGTTGGATCCAACAAGAATGACAACGTCGGCTGGATAAACATTACCTTGGTGGACTAAATTAAATGTCACTTCAAGGGATCCCCAGAGGTAGCTCTGCCATGTCCACTTCAGTGGGCTGTTCTCTCACACGAATCGTCACTGTGTTGTGCGAGAATTCCAAATGGAACATCGGCGTCAGCAATGGTCAATGCACTGTTGGATGACGGCTTTCCAAAGCCGATGCTATTTTGAACGATCCCTCCTCTCTCCCGCCCCAGGCCACTGTGTCGATAGCAACAATTGGGAACAAAATTTAGACATCGATCTTGCCTCTAAGAGCCTCTCCGGACAGAGCTGAGAGCATCGTGCGTGCAAACGTGGTTGGTCACCTGGCATGATGGGAGCCGCGCCTTTCTGATTATTTACGAGCAAGCATTTGCGTGACGTTACTTGTCGGAAAATACAATCACCTGCGTGACGTTTCGCGTTCGGTCCGCGCAAGGTGCCCTTCAACGTTTCGGGTGTTGGGGTTTTAGCAGCGGTCACTGCACACATCAAAGACAACGCTTCCCCCCCCGTGTAGCCTGAAAAGACTGTTGGGGCAAGTGCTGTTAGCGAGTCGCACCTGTGAAGGCCGACACGGCACACGAGGGAGTGGGTGGGTGGCCAGCACCCGTGCCAGGCCGCCTTTGTCTCCTGAGTGGCGATGTTAACACACCGCGCCGGGTACTCGTTTGAGGCCGAGTCGACCGAGGGGAGGCCCAGGACCGGTTCAGATAATCGGATAACCATCACCGATGTTCACCATGAGCGGGGGAGTTCGAACTCGGGTCACCGGTTTCGTAGCGCCAACACTACACTACCGCTCCCCACACTGCGCCGGGCGAGCCCGTGGGAACACATTCGCACACTGTGCGGCTATATGCCCGTTGCCCGGCCACCGTAAATCACTTGGGGCTCCCCGTGAGACCACGGGGGGAGGGGTGCCAGCGCGCGCGGCTGGGCGGCTGCCACTTTGGTGTCGTGCCCGAGTGTGGCGAGCCTCGCAATTGAGCCGCCCGAAATTTTTTTTTATCCTGGCGTGGAAGTCGCCCCCCCCCCCCCCCCCCTGCTCGTTTAAACTAAAACGAAACTATTTTTATTTTAGCAGGTAAGACCCCACTGAGCTGTGTAGCTCTTTTTCAGAAGCAACCTTGGCTATCACAAATGAAAGCTCAACGAAGTGGCCGATCATCACGTGGAAATGTATAGCTGTCAAATGCTCTATATAACGCACGTTGATTTTACATGTCGGGTAATAAAAACGGAAAACCCGGAGAAAAATCCACGTGACCACGGTGGGGGGGAGAGACACACGCAAACTCCAAATATACAGCAGGCGTCAGGGTTGGGATCGAACCCATGACCTCCTGCATACCAGGCAACCATCGCCGACTTTATAGACTCCTGGGTAAACGACAAGCATCATAATAACAATAATTTTGCTGTGAACGTTTGAGCCGAGGTTGAGTTTGGTGCCATTCGCGTTTGGCAGGGTGAGGGTGAGGGGTTGGTGGAGGTGGTGCGAGGTGGGGGAGGGGAGGGTACGTGCTTTGATGGACGGGTGTTCTCCGTTGTCCCCAGTTCGCCGTTGTGCTATGGCTGCTCACCTACGTGGGTGCCCTCTTCAACGGCCTGACCATCGTCATCCTCGGTAAGGCGAAAGTCGATTCCCGCGTGGAGTGGGGAAAAACTAAAAAAACTTGCAGCCTCTTTCATTCTGTTGCTCGGATGAGAGTACGTGCATCTTACCTTGCCGTGCTCTCCTTGTAATCTGGAGCATATCGTATTCGCATTTATATCCTGTATAAGGCAGTGTTGATGTGAGTAACGTCCTTGTTTGCCTTTTCTGCGTTCCCAGCTTTGATTGGCGCGTTCACAGTCCCCATGGTCTATGAGAAGTACCAGGTACGTGTGAATTGATATTCATGACCCCGTTTTATATGACTGTGGCACGCATGTGCCTCTGCCCTCTTGTCTGCCCACGTTTGCATCACCGATTTAAAAAATATATATTAAGGCTGGCCAGCCGGCTGGGGTGGCTTTTTGAGGTCAGAGCGCCGAGCTGCGGAACTGTGCACTGAGATATCCCGAGTTCGACTCCAGACAGCCGCTTGTGATTAAGCCGGCACCTGCCCCGAGTCATCGATGATTTCACGGGGAAAAAGGCGTTATTTAAAATTAGTTTTTCCACTTAATTTGGTAGATCCCCCCATCCCCCCTCCAGGCCCGAATCCAGCAGTGGATTGACAAAGGGCCAAGGTCATGGAATGGAGGTCGGGGCGCCACGGTGACGAGATGTTAACTACCTCGTCTGGTATACAGGAAGTCGTGGGTTCGATCCCGACCCTGATGCCTGTATATTTGGAGTTTGCATGCCTCTCTCCCCGTGGTTGCGTAGATTCTTCTCCTATTCCTCTGTTTTTTTTTCCCCTCCACATTTAGAATCAACGCACGTTTAGATAATTTGGCTGCTATAAATTTCCACGTGATAAGCCGCCTTGTTGACCTATCATTCGTGGCTGAAAATGATCCGTACACCTCAGTGGTGCCTTACTTGGTAAAATTAAAATAGTTTAATTTACCTGTTTTATTTCTGCCGCTGCCTGCGTGTTTTGTTGGGTTTACGTGGCCGCTGTGCGCTAATCCGTTTGTGTCGTCAACTCCACACCCTCCCGCCCCCCCCCCCCCCCCCCCCCCCAGGTTCAGATCGACCAACAAGTGGGGATGGTGCGGAAGCACGTCGGCGAGGTCGTTGAAAAGTGAGTCGCTCGCTCGCCATATCCCAACGGCACGCGCCCAGCTCACCCCGCCCGTAGATCTCCGCCCGTGGGTGCTGCCGCGGTGGCAAGATGTTAACTACCTCACCTGGTTTACAGGAGGTCGTGGGTTCGATCCCGACCCTTGGTGCCTGTTGTATATTTGGAGTTTGCGGTGTCTGTCTCCCAGTGGTAGCGTGGGTTTTTCTCTGGGTCCCCTCCCCCTGTTTTTCCCTCCACATTTAGAACCGACGTCCGTTTAGAGTATTTGGCTGCTATGAATCTCATTTGTCGCCTGGTTGCTTCTGAAAGAGCTGTCGAGCTCAGTGGGCCTTACCTGTAAAATAAAAAGTTTTGTTTTAAACAGTGGTCAGCACATATTGGCTCTGGTGCTGGCAGTCATCTCAGTCGGTCAACCCATGGCACCTGGGTCTATCCCGTGACACCTCACGTGGCCTCAAAGTGCGCAAAGCCTGGAGCAAGCGCCGTGATGACGTCGCCGCCACTTGGTGGCAAATGTCGGTTCGAAAAAAAACTAAAATAAAATAACTATCTGTACCGAGGTTCCCACAATGCCTTGCCGGAGGGCATGTGGTACAGTTTTGTGCCAGCTATCCTCGAGTGCGGTCGTGTCGCTCCAGTTTTCTGCGGCGAGTACAATGTCTTTAAAAACAAAGGCGCTACGCCTCTCTGACTAAGCCGCTCGTGCGTTCCGAGATTCGGCGGTGAAGGGGACCCCCACCCTGCAACCTGCAGACGTCTCAGAGCGGGCAGGCCGCCGCATGCAATCTCGCCCATACCCGTTGCTGGCATGCTGCAGTTTATTTGCAGTCTGCTCTTGGGTGAGCGTAAGGTTACACGCCGGTAAAGATGATTGATGGTGGATTCAGGACATCGTGAATAGACCTCCGTGTCTTTAAATACGGTGCCTAACGTGTACTGTAGCGTCCTCGCTGACAATTCAACACGATGTTAATGCTCGTAGCTGGATGAAGGCCACCCCATGTCTTGTCACCCCATGGGGATTTTCACTGGCCATACTTCGCCGCGCGGGTTGTGGCGAAGGGCGAGCGGGGAGCAGCACCGGTTCTAGGTGCCGCACTCGCCAACAGTGTCGTACCCCCGTGGCCGGGAATCCAAACTCTCGTTTCCGGCTCCGTCGCGCGGCAACACAAACTGCTGTTGCCCACCGCTTTCTACAAATTTGCACGTGATAAGCCACTTCGTTGAGCTGTGTCTGGTGTGGCCTGGTCGCATGCTCCATAACTCTCAGTGGGCCTGAACTGGTAAAATAAAAAAAAATAGTTTTTTGTTATTTCCTTACCGTTTCCTTTTACTTTGCACTCCTATCGTGTTTTTGTATTGTTTGCTGCTGTAACGTTCTTACCTGCCTCTAATGGACATCTTTAAAATAAAAAAAAAGATCTTTATAGCTTATCGGATTCCTCCAGTATAAATAAATATTCTGATGCGAATCTGACATGTTTGCGAATGCGTCGCTCATCGGCAGAATGTTGCCACCCCGCTTCTTCTGTGTCCTTGATGCGTTGATTGTTGAGATGCGAGTGAAATTCATGATTGCGTCTCTCTCTCTCTCGCCCTCCCTCTTCGTCATCTTTTGCAGAGTTCAAGCGATGATCCCAGGAGCCAAGCGAAAGGCCGAGTAAAGCTGAAAATAAGAGAAGCGCACATCCGCAGCAGATAGTAGTTGTCTTCTACCACGCAGCAGTGAGCTTTTAAAACAAAAGTCAATAAAATAAATGGGCAATGACTACAATTAATGAAATAAGCAAAGTGACGTACATTTGACACGAAAGAAGCGCAGCGTGGCTCTTTGTGTGCGCGCAAATTTAGACCCCCCCCCCCACTCTCCCCCCCCCCCCCGTCGTCCTCCCCGTGGATTTTGCGAGCAACTTAAAAAGCCGGCGATGTCGGTCTGTGTGTAAAGATTCCTTTGGTGGCGTCTGTGCTCTTGCCGTGGCAGGGCACGGAAAGTCTCCGCGTGTGGCACATTTAAAACGCTCTTCTCACCAGATTACACTTCCCCCCCCCCCCCCGTTTGTGTGTTTTTTTTTTGCCTTATGAGAATTGTAGCTGTCGAGCTTGTGTGCGTGCGTGTGCGTGCGCGCGTGTGGGTAAAGTTGCATGCCTCTCTAACGTAGGTATAGGGTAGGTAGGTCGTTTGCAGCACGTACACAGAAGACGATCGCGCTTAACTTAAGCAAATCGGCCGGAGCAGGTCCGTACCCGGGCAGTCGTTTAAGGCGTGCCGCGGCAAGACCGCCTGCACAACCGCTTTGTCCTCAATCTGAGCGAGTAGTTGCGCGGCGACGGCGTTAAACGACGCGTTGTCTGGGCAATCGGCGACCAACCACCGAGAGAGACCCGTAGCACGCAGATTACGTAGATCATTTGAATGCTTTGAGTGTCTGCTGCGGGCAACCGGTTTGCACGGATGTCCCACATGTTAGTGGTCCGGTTGCACGCAACCAAGCATGCGCAACCGGTTGCTTGGCGGGGGGGGGGGGGGGGTGTGGGACGCGGCCTAAGAGCTTCGCTATCAAAGCGGCAGTGTGTGGTTAGTAAAAATCCGGCTCGTGTTTTTCTGTTATTCGCTCGTCGTGATCGTATCCCCCCCCCCCCCCACTGTGGTTAGTGCCATGAGTCGTGACCACTAGGCTTAGAGCGGTAGATTTATTAAGGCTTTAAACACCGTGTGAAACTCTGCTAGCTTCTGATTTGATGTTAGCTCTCTCTCTCGCGCTCGTCCAGCACAGAGGTTTTCGGGGTGTGCTTCGACAAATTAGCTGACGATCTCTGGCTCCTGTACCCGCGTTGCGTGTCGCCAATAAATGTTCGTGTCTACCACCGCATTGGGGGTCCTCCCCCCCCTGCCACGTGTGCGTTTTGTCGCGTTGCGATTCGACGCGCGGTCGACGTTTTACGGTCTGGGTTTTTTGTATTCGCGTTTCCCCCCCCCCCCCCCCCCCCGACGTATTACTTAACGGTGCCGACCGACGAGGGAGGGGGAAAAAAAAACTGTCACGCACGCGTCCGAAATAATTAAAGGCGTCCTTCATTTCAGGCCTCGGTCCGTCGACGCCGTCTTCGCCCACTTAACCGACCTCAAAAAAAAGTGGCCAACGGCGGACAGAAACCTTTATCCTCTTGGCCGATGTTCAAGCGGTCGATTCGGTTTTGTCCCCCCAGGGTGTCCCCACACCATCAATGCGGTCTATGCATGCGCGCATGCACGCTCCGCAACTTGCGCAACAGCTGTACTTTGTGCAGCTGTTGCCAGAGAAACACGTGGAAAGGCAGCGATGTCCTCGTAAAAAATGTGTTGTTTTTTGCGGGTCGGCGAGTGGTGGTGTTCGAGCCTTCCTCACCAGGTGAGAGAATTCTTCGACTTCTCACGGCTCTCTTGCAAGAGAGACACCTGGCTTCCAACACCCAAGAGATCCATGGAAGAAGTAGCCAACAGACGAAACTCTATCCTATTTGCAGTGGCTTTAACTGCTGAGAACGCACACTGCGCTGTGAACCTGGTGACCCGAGTTTGATCCGTGCCCACGGCGAACAGTGGCAGTAGTGCTGGGCTCCCACCAGACGTGTTTGTTCATGGTGTCAATGTTGGCTTTCATGTTAACACGCATGAATGCGAGTGTGCGGGCACGCTATGCTACGCTGCGAAGCCGGCAATCAGAATTAGATTCCCCCACACGGCCACCAACACCAGTGACGATTATCTGAACTGGTCCTGGGCCTCCCCTAGGTCGACTCGGCCTCAAATGAGCACGTGGTGTGGTATATAAACATTGCCATTAGGGAGACAGGCAGCTAGGCGTGGTGTTGACAACCCACCCCCTCGTGTACCGTGCCGGCCTTCATAGGTACTCGCAAACAGCACTTTACACAACAGTCCGTTAAGGCTATACGGTTGATTTTTGTCTGAGGTTGGCCAATTAACTGTTGAAATGATTTAGCGAGCTGTGCGTACTGAATCCTGTAATGAACTGCCTGTTTACAGGAAGAGCACTGCTCTGTTAATTTGTTTTCGTGATTGTGAATCCGTTTGGGCCTTACCCTGTGTTTAATTAGTGTTGTCCAATTTGCCTCCTGAACGCTGCTGTGAGTGCGCATGGTGTTGGACACCCACCCCCTAGTGTGCCGGTGCCTGCCTTCATAGGTGCTACTCGCTAACAGCACTTGCCCCTACAAGTCTGTTCAGCCATAATATAGTTTTTTTTTTGGGTTAGATCGCGTAAATATATAAATGCGTCGTTAAAACCCGCCACCAGCCGACAGCCAACTAGTAAGGGTTGTCACGTAAACAGAACGTGGCCAATTCGTCACTAGTACAGCACACCGGTGTGTTGGAGAGCCAAGCCACAACATTTACAATCTGAGCACGACGTTTCGCCAGTAATTACAACCAGCTTCATCAGGCGACAGTCAGATTTGTGGAGAAGTCCACCTGTTTCGTTTCTTATATAGAGGAGGCGTAGATGTGGTGACCACGCTTCTGCGCTCTTGCGCAAGGTGGGGGGGTAGGGGATTACTCGGTCAACGTTAATGATGCATTTGATTAAAATAGCCGTACCAACGGTAATCCCTATTGAAGTATGCTGCCCTTTATAGGCATGCATTTAAATAATATTATTTGATGATTCGCTTCCACGCGGCACTAAGGTGGTAGCTTATCCGAATGGTTAAAATAGTTTTTATTTCAATTTGGATAGATTCTCTAATTAGTCTTGGCCAGTCGTTGCTAGTTTTGCACAGAACTTCAACGTTATCAAAATCAATTGTGTCCTGTTCAAACGATACGGGGGATCTTTGTGTGTGAGTCAGCGCCGGATTGTGACTTGAGATTGAGGAGGCAACTAAGTCAACAAACTGATTTATGAAACTCAATCAACCAACTCTGGTTTTTACAACTAAGTCAACTGATTTTTGCAACTAAGTCAACCGCCTCTGGTTTTTGAAGTTTCAAGTTTATTTTGGTTTAACCAGAGACGTCAATTGAGGAGTACGACTCTCATTTGCACTTTAAAAATTTAGATTTAAAACTCATTCCTTTAGAACTGCTTTTTTGTTGTGCTTAGTTTGTTGTCCTTCCCAGGGCACCTCCGATGAGCACGGTGTTGTCTACGTACGGTGCGAAAGAAGTTCAATGTGCTTTCACGGTAACCAAAAATGACGAAAGTGATGACATACAAACGAAGCACACAACTATTAAGCAAATATAAATCGGAGGGAAAATAACCGCGTCATGCAAGAAATAAATTAAAACATTGTCCAATCAATATTAAATAAAACAATTCACAGTCACAAGTTGGCTCTGACAAATTAAAATTAAGTTACAGACATGTGTTGGTCAGTAGCTCCTTTGATTCATGCACGGCAGCAGCAGGAGTGAAACGGTTCACAGAGTAATTCAATAATGCAGGGAGAGCATCGTACTATGTTTCCGGGCGGGAGTTGTCTCGGGAGACTAATGAGAAGGGACTGCATGCCTTTTAGAACACTTTAGCAGTCATTATGTTGACGAATGAGGCTTCGCGCCAGGTTGTTTAAATAATTTGCGCGGAGTCGGGTGTGTCCTGAAAGTGGATTGGATTAAAAATTAATTCTGATAAGCCACACAACTGACAACATTAATCATCGTGGAGATGGGGATTACAGATTTACATAAATTACGCGAATATGAGCGTATGGGGAATTATTTTGAATAGCGTTGCAAAGGGTAATCTGTTTTCAGATCTTTTTCAAATTTTAAAATTATAGCAATTATATTTTTTGCACAAAAGCCTCGCTGAATCTCAAGACTTCCGAAGGATCTGGCTGGTACGTTGTGGGCATTTGGCCAATTCCATGAATTAGTTTTTGGCTGCGATTCGAGTCGCCAGCATCATCAGCCGTTCGATGGAAACAAAGAAGAGGTTTTACCCTTTCTGGCAATAAAACAGTTTGTGTTAAGATGTGACAACGCCAAACAGAAACCCTTTGCAAGGAATCCTGTCTGCATGAACCACATGTACTTTGTGGTGAACATCACTGCCCCCAACTACCATCACCACTAGCAGTAGCCCTTTATTATTGTCGTGTCATGGCCCTCTACGAGTACCATCACCTCGAGCAGCAACCTCCACCGTCAACAGGTGTGAGTGTGGAATGCGAGGTGCAATGATTACCTGGCAGCTCTTGAATTGGTGGAAACCCACCACCAGCGCCGTGGTCGCACTACAAGAACCACCACTGCCATTAACATTAACTGCCACGCCCATGCTGATGACACTTGGGCTACGCCCATTTCAAACCTTTATAAACAGTTTGCCTTAAGAGGCTAACTCCCCTTTTCCTGATGACGACCGCTTGTGTTGCGATCGAAACGTAGTTTTTTTGTTATTTTCTTTGAACCTGTCTACGTGACTTTCCCGAAAGACCCAAAGAATATGAATTCCTGCAGTCACGAAAGCTTTAAGTCAAGACACAGGAGGTGTTAAGCTGTTCAGACACCAAATAGACACCTATTGCAAAGCATCGAGTCTGCATTAACCACACATGCTTGTAGGAAAACATGCATACAAATGTGTTTTATAGAAATGTGTGCATTGTTCTTGAAACTGCAGGAGGTGCTTATTTGGCGTTTGAACATCTTAACGCCTGTAGTACTACCGAAAAGGGTACATTATTCTCATGATCTTGATACCGGAAAAACGGGGTCTCGCAAATATTACCCATACGATGAATCTACTGCCGGATGAAGTGCTCGCTCACGCAAGCCGTGAAGAAGACTGCCAAGTTGGGCTCGAGTTGAACATAAAACGGAAGACGCCTGAGAATTCCACCGCCACGCGTATGAAGTGGGTGGGGTGGGTGGGTCACACTCACCACTGCAGCCACCCGGCCACACCTTGGAGCACCACGCCGACAACATTTGGCGAGACCGAGTGATCGCGCATCGTCTCGGCAGCGTTGGTCCAGCCACGAGCAAATTGTTCGCCCATGAACCATTTGGCGTCGATCTCGGAACCCTTGTATTGCTCGCAAACATCTGGCAGTGCGCCAACCGGAATTGGGGTCAAGCGAGCGTGACTGCTGATGAGACACTGAATGTCGAAACCGCTCCATGGGTTCGCATCTGTTGAAACAATGCTGAAATTATGCTTTTCCAGAGAGCCCATGCGGCTGATGGGATACGTAAAAAATATTTGTCATTTTATATGGAGAGGGGGGTGTATTATTGGCTGCTCATTGTGTCACTGCAACAATGTATAACAGAATGTTTTCTCTATAATCTATATTTTTCTAAGTGGTTTATCTGGTAAGATTCCGAAAGCCAAATCCGGTCCAGCGTTTGCTTGGATAATTATCTAATTATTATGAACTACATTTTTCATATTAGCCCGAATGCTGGCACTTATTCATTTTAACACTTAGGGATACGTGTGACCTAAACGTTTTTTGGGCTAGATCGTGTACGTGTAAATATGTCGTGAACCCACCTCTACCCGACACAGCCAATTAGAAAGGGTTGTCACCAGTGCCGGATGAAGCTAGTGCGGGGCCTGTAGCATATGTTATAAAGGGGCCCTAAATAAATACTAATAAACAAATATTAAAACATTTTTTTTAACTTGCGTAGTGAAGTTATTGTATTTTTTCATTTGCTATACAGCCAGATAATACGACAAATCGCTAACCTTAAACACCCAGTCGTTCATAAAAGTTGAAGGCAGTATAGTACTATAGTAATAGAGCAAGTGCAGAATCACACTGAAACGGAATTGATAGCTTGAAAGCATATAGCGCGGGGCCCTTGAAAGTGCGGGGCCCGTAGCTACTACTACATATGTAGTAGTACT